CTACAACAGGGAACCGATTTACTGGTGCCCCTCTTGTGCAAGATGATCCGGGCCAGCTTGGCCCTGGCATATATACCAATGGAATGGAGAATGGCAAAAGTAGTATTCATTCCAAAACCAGGGCGGGCGACGTATGTCCAGGCCAAATTCTCTCGCCCGAACAGCCTAACATCCTTCTTACTCAAAACACTAGAAAAGCTGATCGACAGACACATCAGGGAAGATGTTCTTACTAGAAGTCCTCTACACCACAACCAATATGCCTACCAAATGGGAAAATCCTGCAAATCTGCTATCCACGATTTGGTGCAGAGGGCACAAACCTAAGGGGATTGCTCTGGCGGCTTTTCTGTACATAGAGGAAGCCTTGACAATACCTCTTTTCAGTCAATCGTCAGAGCGGTGAAAAAGCGTGGAGTGGAGCCTATCATATGTAAATGAATCCAAAACATGCTGAGTTGCAGAACGGTTACGGTCGCACTCAATGAAGTCAGCATGGAAGCACGGGTAGCCGGCGGGTGTCCGCAGGGAGGAGTTTTGTCGCCTTTGCTGTGGACCCTGGTGGTGGACCGGCTCCTGTCGTCTCTTGAGGGAAAAGGTTTCTACGCACTGGGATATGCGGATGATATCTCCATTCTTGTACAGGGAAAGTTTGGAGACACTGTATCATCATTGATGCAGCAGGCGCTAAACATCACCGAACAATGGTGTAACACGGAAGGGCTGAAAACTAGCCCATCCAAGACATCTATTATCGCTTTCACAAAGAAGACAGATCTTAGAGCCCTAAGACAAATGTCTATATATGGGAACAATATACACATGTCTGACACTGTTAAATATCTTGGGGTAACCCTGGATAAGAACCTGTTGTTTAAAGAACATGTGGAACAGTAAGCAAACGAGGCGATCAGGGCTTTATGGACCTGCAAACGCACTTATGTAAAAACATGGGGAATTTCACCGAAGATGGTGTACTGGACGTACGTCATCATTGTGAAACCATAATCACATATTCCGCCCTCATATGGTGGCATAGAACCAAAATCAGCACATATCGACAATCCCTGAACAAAGTTCAGAGGCTGGCGTGTCTGGGAATAACTGGAGCAATGTCAACGACGCCGACGACCGCTATGGAGACACTCCTGGGCGGGAGCCGTTGCATTTATCCAATGAAGCTGAGGCCCTAAGAAGCGCTTACCGTATGGGTGACGATGGTCTCAGGAAAGCGACGGATTTGGGACACAGTGCGATCTTCAGAAAATTGAAGACAGTCGAACCCATGGTATCAAAAGCTGATCGAATCAAAACTCTAAGCATCTCGGTACCTTTTAGAACATATGTTCTAAATTGGGGGCGAGATGGTAGAGAGACTCCATCAGCCATAACAGGGGACTCCGTATGGTACACGGAGGGCATAAAAACAGCGTCGGGCACAGGCGCTGGTATAGTCGAAAAAGGAAGAACTGGGGAAAGGATCAC